TTCATGAACATCAGGAAATAAATAATAGATTATGCTTATAGACTCGAAAGTTGAGGGCAAATTTAGACTGCCTGAATAGGTTGAATTTAGAAAAAAGAGAACGTAGTGAAATCTTCGGAGGGATCCTCTTTTCTCTCCAAAGCGACAGAATGCCAAAATTGTATGATTAAATAAGTTTCGCCGCAGTTCGCCCGCTGATGTTCCCTCGGATAGGCGATCTTGACGTGAGAAATGGTGATTTATGTAAGTATTAGGTTGTCCGGAAAGTTCTCAGCGTTTTGGGTGTTTCACTTTAAACGATCGTAACTTTTTTAATACTCATCGGATTTAATCGAAATAGGCACCATTCGAATCAGCACACTTTTGCCAATGTGACAGCAGTCGAGAAATCCCATCAAAGTAAAAACTGGGTGGTCGAGAATCCACGAAGGCTTTTTTGCCTGGTCCTGATTGATGAAGTATTTTCCAGCAAGGGAGTTCTGAAAATGTTAGAAAAGGTGATAGTCGGTTGGCGAAAGGTCTGAAGAATATGGCGGTTGAGGTAGAACTTCAACCCCCAATTCGTTCAATTTATGGATAGTGATTTGTGAAACGTGTGGGCGGGCGTTGTCATGCAAAGGAATCGGACCCTTTCTTTTGATAAGTGTTGGCTGCATCTGACAAAATTTTCGGTACAATTCGTCGATTTCTTCACAGTAGGGTTCTGCTGTGATGGTTTGGCCTGGTGATAAAAAGTTATAGTGGATCACACCAGCCGATGACCACCAAGCCGTGACCAGAATCTTTTTTTCGTGAGGGTTCGGCTTTGAAAATTACCTCGGTGGTTCGTCGAAATCCAACCACTGTCCGGAACGTCTCCTGTTATCATACATGACCCATTTTTCATCACAGGTGACAATTCGGCCCAAAAACAGGTCGTTTCTGCTGCGCAAAAGCAATGCAGAAGGAACCTCGAGACGTGCCGATTCCTGCCGGTCACTCCGATTGTGGGGCACCCAATTGTCGAGTTTTTTCACCTTCCCAATGCGTTCCAGACCATCTGCAACAGTGGATTTGCCAAGGCCTAGCTCTTCTGCTATCTCTCGAACTGTTTGGGATGGGTCAGCCTCCAAAATCCCCCTAAAATCCTCGTCAGATATTGCTTTAGGTCGACCGCTATGAGGTTCATCTTCAAGGCTGAAATCTCTTCCTCCCTGAAATCTCTCACTGTAGTATTGTTTAGGTTAACGCTTATGGGTTCTCTTAAGGCTGAATCTGTAGAGCGAATATGTTGAGTCAATGCGTACAGTCTTCTCTGATTTTCGGCCCCCATACTGGTAATTTTTGAGCTGGGCGACTGGATGATCTGCCGCTAGAGCCCATTTGTTGCCACACTTTTGATAGGAGTGTCCGAAAGAAGAATCGCGCTGTCACCGGGGTGTGTCTTCGTGGAATACATGGGAGTGCTCAGCGTGACCGCTGGTGAGAAGTGGTGCGGAGGTACTATAGTTCGCTCTGAGTGATGCACGAAAATAGTATCGCGCAGTCATGGAGTAGGTCGAGCACGCTCACTAGCACTTCAGTGCGCGGCTCCAGCTGCTAAAGAGTCTCACGAACGCTGGATAGCGGGACGTTGTCGAGGGATGTCATCCTTCGGAGACGGGACTCAGATGCTCTGACCGGAAAGAGACAAGGGACGGCAGTAGAGGTTTATATCTGCGAATCGTTCGCTTATAGATGTTCAGATCGTCTTGTGGTCTAGGCCCGTGCAAAGTTTCCTGTATGCAGTCAGGGTTGTGATATGCGGATCGCTAGAAACCTTCGAGTAGAGGTTCGATTAGTGAGCCACATTTTTTTGGCACGATCTCCGATATAGGTTTGGCGGGTTTTACGAGGCTATCTCATTGTTATATGTAACACTTGGTCTCCACCTGCGACGTTTCTCTGGGCTCCGGCCACGCGCTTCGGTACATATTATGAGGGGTGATTGCGTGATCGTTTTAGAAGTGAATTCTAATGGATTATTTTTCTCTACAGAGTGACTCTGATGCATATTGTTTTTGGTAATTTGATTTGAGTGACAGTATTTCGGTTATGGCTACCGCCAGGGGCCGTAAAACTTCTTGCTGTGTTCAGTTGGAAAACGCTGGATGTATGATAAGGGAATGATCCGTATTGGCTGATGCGGACGTAGTGGGCAATCGAATCTCGCCGGCAGTTTAGGTTCGCGCGGATAATTCAGCGCCGGTGTCGCTCGTTAGAGACAAAGATAAACATTGCTTTAGGTCTAAAACATACAACGATTAGGAGGCGGCAAACACATTACGTTTGCGGAGGTGGCCACGCCTGCATGTCATATTGCTGGATATTGCGCTACGTCAAACTTCAATATGCTTTTTCATTCTCGAATTTAAAACGTGGTCTGAATATCGCACTGATTCGGTAGTGCATTTTCACAGTTTGGGACCGAATTTATAGCGGGGCTTTAGACAAGAATAATGGTGCTAATGACTTCTTGATTCGCGAAGTTGTGTGACGTCGAGATGTCTACTGAGGGTGTCGTGATACAGCGCAGTTCCTCATTACAAAATTTTTCTGTTTTGCCATGCAAACGGTATTGCGTTCTTTGGATGACTGCATAATTAAGTTGGAGTGTTTATATGTCGATTGTTTTTCGCGGGCCGTGGGATGTGGTCGAGATGAAGGAGGGAATGTAGTTTGTTTTGCTGTGTCGCTCACGATTGATTGTAGTCCGAGCGAACTGTTCGCCGGTTTTGGTAGTGGATATGTTGCTGCGCTAGCATGCACCTTCACGCAATCATAGCGCGGCAGGTTTTTGCACCTGAGTAGCGCCCATAGAGATGAGGGGGATCACGTACTCAAATTATGACAATAATATGATGGGGCCGCTGTAGATTGCAATAATAGACGACTTCGGCTGAGAAGGAATAAGATATATTTCCTTTTCTTAGTATTCATAGATATCTTCACTGTTGAGTAATCGGCAGTGGTTATTAAGTTAGTGTGGACCTTGTCTGTGAGAGATTGATTTGAATCTTGTGAGGAACGCGGAGTCTCAGACCTGCCTATTTCGACACGAGCTGAGTCGTGACAGATGCACTCAAAATGAGAAGTGCAATTGGCGTAGTTATTAACGGCTGCTTTTTCTGTTGCGCATTCAACAGGAATTTTGTAATTCTCTGGTATCATGACCGCGTCCTTGGAACTCACGGCGAATCTTCGGTCCATCATAGGTGACCGAGGATTTTGTATAGAAACTACGGTCATTTTTAAGTCATCCGCTATCTGTTCAACGTATGGCTGCAGCACATATCGGCTTCTTTTGGCAACGTTGTACAGCGTCGTATGGATTTCTACCGTAACTACTGGTTTCCATTCCGAACAATCTACCACTTCATAGGCGACCTCAGATATAGGTTCATGGACGAACCTATAGAATGAGCATGAGGGTAGAGGTAATAGGCAACCGCAACCGAGTCCTCCGCAGGATGATGCGCAGGTAGAATATCCTGGGTGCCTTGCAGTGTCGCTTAATTCTGGAATGACTTCGTTTCTTCGAAAACTGCTGCACCTCTCATCATAGCACGATCCCATTTGCGGACATCGTAGAGAATGGTGTATCTTCGGCACCGAATCTCTAGTGAAGAAACGAGATACCTTGGAGCACGTAAGCTTTATTGGGTAATGGTAGACCTTGATCAGTCCTACGGTTTTGTTTCCATGGTTAATTTGTATGCACAAATTTGAGTTGAGTCTATTGAAACTGATTTCCTCGTTGTACTCATATACGCAGCTGTCTCGCTGTGTGCATATTAGGTTTACTGTATGGCGCATATAGCCTAATTGACAGGCCGAAGCTCTCTGCAAGATGACCATAATGACACATGCCGTAACTAACCCAGATTTGGCTAGCGGTGTAGGGTTGAACGATCGCAGTGGGACATTCCTTGCTTCACAAGCCGAGTCGGAACTCCCTGCGCGTTGTGTCTTTTTGGCATTCCCTCTTCTAATCTTACGGCAGAATGCCGTGGCAACCAGGAGTATAGTTGCCAGAATAAGATAAAGAACAAGGAACGCTGATATGATGGCACCTTCTGGCCAACAGTGCGGGTTCCCTAGTAAGCCCTTGGATAGGAATCCTTGGGCATAAGCACAGAATTCCGG